AGCACTCTCTTGCAGCAGAAGCCGTAAAACATACTTTTGCACACGACCGGCTCCTGTCCTCCAGAGTATCTATCATCGCGGCCTTTGTAAAATGTCGGCATCATAAAGAAGCTTCCTGCATGGTCATGGACGAACACAGATTTCTCCAATCAACATGGCATGCCAGAGTTAAGCTGCAAAGTGCGGTCCTGAAGCCGGCACCTGGCACCAAAGCAGTCCGGCTCCTCGCCAAATATTTCGATAGCCGATAAAGCTGAGCCTGAACTGCAATCAGACAAAGAACCAATCATGTTGCAACAATACATTGCCGACTGTCACACTATCGCATCTTGAAAGAAATCTCAAGCGAGCCATATATGACAAGGCACATCCAAGAAAGCATCGTACACGTCTTCATCCCATAGATCTACCGTGCCATCGGGCTTGTAGAAGAGCTCAAACCTTGGACAGCAACCAACAAAACTGTGGGCATCAGACCTATATGTCACAATAGAGCAGCTTTCGTCTGTTGGAGTCAAGCCACCCTGTGCATTCTTGTGCATGACTGAAAGGAGTCAAAGGAATGCACTGTTGGGCAGGTGGCTGGCGGCTGATGAGCTTGGCAATCTGTTTGGCCAACGATCTCGGATACTTCCTCAAATTTTCGAGGGCAGAACAAAGTACACACACAGACCCAACAACACAGAGCAACACACATGCGATATTGACATCGTCCGTTGCTCTCAAAATAATTGCTGTCGTGTATCTGCGTGCTCTTGAAGCTCCGAATGCCAATCATTTTTGCACGAGCCCGCCTTGGGCCTCGCCTGCTGGAGGAATGCCAATACTTGGAGATCATCACCTTCCTCAGTACGAAAGTTGGGTCCGGTTGGAAGTCCTGTTCCTTTGGTCTGTTCGAAATGCTGTATAATATAGACATTTGATGTTGGGTGGATGGGTTGCTGGACCTTAACTGGGCCCTGCGACAAAAAGAGCTGTCCCGCCTTCGCCAACTTGCCGGTTCCTCCAGCACCCAGCCTCCACCACACCATTGCATAAGAAGCATCACCAGTTTCATCCTGCAGGAAAGTTCCGGTTGACATGACACAATTGAAGATCAATTGCAGCACTCCTCGCCAGCACCCGATTTGCATCTGCGGTCGACGGTAGATCGGGTCGACCCGAACGTCTTTCCCGACCTGGGCACAATAAAAGGCATTGTTCTGACGTGATTTCAGCTCGATCCGTTGCCAGATGAGCAGCTGCTGTCCGAGAACTGGCGATTCATCCACACCCAGGACCAAAACATCGGCCGGAGGATCGCGACCCTGCAACACACAGCACTTCAGCTGCAGTGTGCATTAACTTGCATGCACATATCAGAACAAGTCACCTTGGCCCATCCCGCTTCAAACACAAGAAGCTGGCCAAGATCATCCTTACCACACATGGCAGCAACAACGTGTGAATGCAGACAAACTCACAGCAACACGACTTCTTTGGGGTTTCCACGAAAAGCCGGCCGAGGAGTTTATATCCATCCTCGGGTCATGGTCGAAGTCGTGGGAGGCGACGTGCAGCCCCAGCTCGCAGAGGGATTTCTGAGACAATGGACAGTTTATTCCATCTATACGGGAAGCAGCAGAACACTCAACGGAACATGCAATCCCCCACGGCTCCTTGACACCTTTGCCGAGCTCGATGACATCCCACTTCGGGGATTTGCAAACTTCACGGTTCCACATCCTCAGCTGAATTCGGGCCCGAACCTATTCCGAACCTATCCGTTCTGTGTGACAGCTGAGGCGGGTACAAGAGGAGCAGGCAAAGTATAAGAAGTTTGGGAATGCCGAAGGCAATCATGGACTCCACCAGGTGGTGGTAAGCAGCAGCGGTCCTCCATGCCAGTCATATGTGCTTTCACTGTCTGACTCAGAAATATCACAGTCTCGCTCAGAATAAAGGATGAATCGCTCCTGAAGACCGCCATCATCACGAGGAACCATGTCGTCATGATCATGATATATATGAAGTCTATGCGTGGTGCACTACCACGTAATATTCTAAACTTCGCTTTCGCTGCACGGCATCCAAGAGCTTGCTCGAGCCATTTGCCACCGCAACCGCAGAAAGTGATGTTGCGGCGACCACATGCACTCAGCATGAATACACACTGCAACTACCGATGACAGGCAAAGCCCTTTGCAGAAGCTCAGTCGATCAAAGCGGGGGGGGGGCACCATGAGGCGATGAAGGCCTGCTCCGCTTCTTCGAAGAAGTGGTCACATCATCTGTAGAAGTACCTTTCGAGGATTGGGGAACTCATGTCAAAGACTCGGAAACTCATGTCTCAGAAGGGCAGCCTCAAACAGACAAGTTTGACAGTTGCAGGAGCACAAAACGATCCATGAGCAAGCGAAGACTCCTGCCTTTTTTGTTGTGCCCACAGCCCATCTGCGAAGCTTCATAAGCTAGCCTAGCCGAGCCCTATA